AGTGCATAGTTCTTTTAGATGTTTTCTGGCAAAGTCCTTCCAGTTATTTACTATTGCACCTTGTTGTAAAACATCTGTGTTTCCATTCATAAGTGCATCTCTTGATTGTTGAATTACACTATATCAGTCATTTGAATAATTACTTTTGAGAACTGAAAGAGCATGTATAAAAATGGCAAGAATTTCTAAATATGCAGTACTGTTTCAAACATAAAATAATGGTTAATATGTTGACCTTTCAACATGACAAGTAAAAGTTTGTGTTGTACTGACCTTTCTCTTGCACTTGAGTCTAAAGACCTTGAAATGGCTTCTTGGAGGTCGGGGTCATCTGACAGGTATTCTTCCTCAAACAGGCCAAGATATGTACTGCAAAGCCAGAATGTTTTGTAAATTATTTAGTTAAATTACATATAAATGATGTGACATAATTACATTATCACAATACATAGATTGGCCTCAGCATTATTAAAGTTGTGTGGGATCATCTTGACAGAACAGAACAAAAAGCCTGGAAAACTTTTCCTGAACCACGCTTAAAGAAATTCAATAAAAAGAAGACATCGCCATCAGGAACGATGGTGTGCTGTCACTGACAGTGGCAGTAGCAACGCACCAGATGACCCCATCATCAACAGACATGGACCGTGTGTTAACAATGGGAATGGCTGAGGGAACTTCTTTAGAAATTTCAACTGTGAGAACACAAAGAGCAGGAGTTTAACTTTTGAATAACATCTAATCACATATATAGCTTTTGCTTTTCATGTATTTAGGGGTACATTTCTTCCTGCTCAAAATATTAAACTAAATTTAAATATGATTTTAACAAAGACTTGACACTTAACTAAAGACACAATGCCTAAGATGACTAAGTAACAGACACTGAACCAACTTAATTTACAGTTTATTTGGAGCGACTTTTAGATAGGAATATTTACCGCATTTGTCAGAATTCAACGTTTCTGTGAAATCCTGCCTGCTTGTATGGCTACTCTCTCCATCAGAATATGTCTGTAAATTAAAACAGATAATACATTTCATTATACTGACAACAAAATGTCATAATAAATATTAGTAATATGTTTATGTATTATGTATTAAAACATAATACAAGTGACAATGTTTAAGGGAGTTTAAAATCCATCTTTGCCTTTTTCACTCTCATTTTATGAACATACATACATTTGCTGAAATGCTCAGGATTACTTACTGATTCATTGTCCTCACATAAGATGACCTTGTCAGGTCTGACATAAATTGACTTCTGATGAAACAGTTTTTTCACAAGGTCTCCATTCAAAGTCTGTTTGGAAGTGAGTGATGGCTCAACTAGTTTGGTGTGGCATGCCAGCAAAATCTGTAGCCTAGGGGAGGAAGAAAACATAGTGTATATGAAATTTTTGTTAAGGCTAACAGACTACAATACAATACATTAAAAGGCTTAATTTTTGTTAACTCTAAAAGATATCAATCCAGTCATCTGATCGGTGCTCCCAGATCCTTTTTGGAAATACCCAAAGTTGACCTTTAATAGTATAATAATCTAAGTAACAAAAAAAATAATTTTTTTATAAAAAAGGATCTAATGCTTACCTGCATCCTTCAACAACTGGCTGGAAGGCAGTCCTTATTGCCTGCATTACTTTGTCTGAGTCCCAGTCACAGCTAAACTCCAGTGCAGATTTTATATGTCCATTTTCAAAAAGCCAAGCTTTTTTGTTACGCCTTGGCACATGTGTAGTTAGATGGTCTGGCAAGAGAATCACTTCTTTGGTGAAAGACTGAGCCACAGAATGTGACCTGCTTAGCTGTGCTGGAAACCTAATGGAGGATAAAGGCAAATTAAACATTTCTGCATGTAATATACTCACACTTCTCTGATCAATGAAGTACATTTAATTAAAAAAATACACCATGCTGTACACATGTCTAATCTGCATTAATAAACACCCTCTAGCCCCATGGTAGCTAGGATAGGCTCTTGGAATCCTGAATTGGATAAGTGGAAGAGAATGGATGGATGAATGGATGGATAGATGATGGAAGATAGTGGGATGGGTGGGTGGAGAAACTTAACAATCACATAAACAAATGTCTTCAATTCACGGAGTACTTTTTGTTGCTTTAAAAAAAGTTTCATTAAATTATATACTGCCAACAACTATGTATTGTAACAACTGATGTGCTTTGCTTTTACACAATGTTTGCAGATTAAGCTTACGGGACGTGAAATATTATAGAAATCGCATGTTTCCACAATTAAACAAATTAACTGTTGTGCACAGTTTAGTGCCAACAAATATAATATAATATAATAATATAATATAATATAGAAATATTATAGAAATCGTATGTTTCCACAATTAAACAAATTAACTGTTGTGCACAGTTTAGTCTCCACGTCCACACGCTGTCAGTCTATCGCACAGTTTTTTTGTTTTCTTGTGATATTTTTGTTTACTTAGCTTCGTCGAGCAATTGAAACCTATTACTAACCTTCCACTAGTAATTTCAGTGCATTTAGTTCTGTTCTTACCTCTTCTGCCTTGGGCCCTTTCGAGTAAAAGGTCTAAGATTGTAGATGGGACCTGTTGTGGGGCACTCCTGTGATGTGGAAGGCACGTTCTCCATAACGTTAGCTGGATAGCCAGGGGTTATCTGACCGGAGAGGTTCACTGCATTTGGTCTTCCACGATGAAAAAGTGAATAAATTTCTTCATCAGTAGTACGATGCGGTACACTAGTACAAATATTAGGTTGGCCAGAACATGCATTTGCCAGGGTGTTAATTAGCTCCTCATTACTTAGAATTTGAGCCACAAAATTCCGTGCGGACTGGCTCATAGTGCCATTCCTCGCAGGTACAAACAAGGAAAACACTAGATGGCGCAAGCGCCTCCGTGACGTCAAGCTTCATTCTATATATTCAAGCTTCATTCTATATATTCAAGTTTCATTCTATATATTCAAGATTCATTCTATATATTCAAGTTTCATTCTATATATTCAAGTTTCATTCTATATATTCAAGTTTCATTCTCAAGTTTCATTCTATATGTTCAAGCTTCATTCTATATATTCAAACTTCATTCTATATGTTCAAGCTTCATTCTATATATTCAAGTTTCATTCTATATATTCAAGTTTCATTCTATATATTCAAGTTTCATTCTCAAGCTTTATTCTATATATTCAAGTTTCATTCTATATGTTGATGCTTCATTCTATATATTCAGGTTTCATTCTATATATTCAAACTTCATTCTATATATTCAAACTTCATTCTCAAGTTTCATTCTATATGTTCAAGCTTCATTCTATATATTCAAGTTTCATTCTATATATTCAAGCTTCATTCTATATATTCAAGTTTCATTCTATATATTCAAGCTTCATTCTATATATTCAAGTTCATTCTATATATTCAAGCTTCATTCTATATATTCAAGTTTCATTCTATATATTCAAGTTTCATTCTATATATTCAAGTTTCATTCTCAAGTTTCATTCTATATGTTCAAGCTTCATTCTATATATTCAAACTTCATTCTATATGTTCAAGCTTCATTCTATATATTCAAGTTTCATTCTATATATTCAAGTTTCATTCTATATATTCAAGTTTCATTCTCAAGCTTTATTCTATATATTCAAGTTTCATTCTATATGTTGATGCTTCATTCTATATATTCAGGTTTCATTCTATATATTCAAACTTCATTCTATATATTCAAACTTCATTCTCAAGTTTCATTCTATATGTTCAAGCTTCATTCTATATATTCAAGTTTCATTCTATATATTCAAGTTTCATTCTCAAGTTTCATTCTATATATTCAAGCTTCATTCTATATATTCAAGTTTCATTCTATATATTCAAGCTTCATTCTATATATTCAAGTTTCATTCTATATATTCAAGTTTCATTCTATATATTCAAGTTTCATTCTCAAGCTTTATTCTATATATCAAGTTTCATTCTATATCTTCAAGTTTCATTCTATATATTCAAGTTTCATTCTATATATTCAAACTTCATTCTATATATTCAAGTTTCATTCTATATATTCAAGTTCATTCTATATATTCAAGTTCATTCTATATATTCAAGTTTCATTTCAAGCTTTATTCTATATATTCAAGTTTCATTCTATATGTATGCTTCATTCTATATATTCAGGTTTCATTCTATATATTCAAACTTCATTCTATATATTCAATTCATTCTCAAGTTTCATTCTATATGTTCAAGCTTCATTCTATATATTCAAGTTTCATTCTATATATTCAAGCTTCATTCTATATATTCAAGTTTCATTCTATATATTCAAGTTTCATTCTATATATTCAAGTTCATTCTATATATTCAAGCTTCATTCTATATATTCAAGCTTCATTCTATATATTCAAGTTTCATTCTATATATTCAAGTTTCATTCTCAAGTTTCATTCTATATGTTCAAGCTTCATTCTATATATTCAAACTTCATTCTATATGTTCAAGCTTCATTCTATATATTCAAGTTTCATTCTATATATTCAAGTTTCATTCTATATATTCAAGTTTCATTCTCAAGCTTTATTCTATATATTCAAGTTTCATTCTATATGTTGATGCTTCATTCTATATATTCAGGTTTCATTCTATATATTCAAACTTCATTCTATATATTCAAACTTCATTCTCAAGTTTCATTCTATATGTTCAAGCTTCATTCTATATATTCAAGTTTCATTCTATATATTCAAGTTTCATTCTCAAGTTTCATTCTATATATTCAAGCTTCATTCTATATATTCAAGTTTCATTCTATATATTCAAGCTTCATTCTATATATTCAAGTTCATTCTATATATTCAAGTTTCATTCTATATATTCAAGTTATTCTAGTTATTCTATATATTCAAGTTTCATTCTATATATTCAAGCTTCATTCTATATATTCAAGTTTCATTCTATATATTCAAGCTTCATTCTATATATTCAAGTTTCATTCTATATATTCAAGCTTCATTCTATATATTCAAGTTTCATTCTCAAGTTTCATTCTATATATTCAAGCTTCATTCTATATATTCAAGTTTCATTCTATATATTCAAGCTTCATTCTATATATTCAAGTTTCATTCTATATATTCAAGCTTCATTCTATATATTCAAGTTTCATTCTCAAGCTTCATTCTATATATTCAAGCTTCATTCTATATATTCAAGTTTCATTCTATATATTCAAGCTTCATTCTATATATTCAAGTTTCATTCTATATATTCAAGCTTCATTCTATATATTCAAGTTTCATTCTATATATTCAAGCTTCATTCTATATATTCAAGTTTCATTCTATATATTCAAGCTTCATTCTATATATTCAAGTTTCATTCTATATATTCAAGCTTCATTCTATATATTCAAGTTTCATTCTATATATTCAAGCTTCATTCTATATATTCAAGTTTCATTCTATATATTCAAGTTTCATTCTCAAGTTTCATTCTATATGTTCAAGATTCATTCTATATATTCAAACTTCATTCTATATGTTCAAGCTTCATTCTATATATTCAAACTTCATTCTATATATTCAAACTTCATTCTATATGTTCAAGTTTCATTCTATATATTCAAGTTTCATTCTATATATTCAAGTTTCATTCTATATATTCAAGTTCATTCTATATATTCAAGTTTCATTCTATATATTCAAGTTTCATTCTATATATTCAAGCTTCATTCTATATATTCAAGTTTCATTCTATATATTCAAGTTCTCATTCTATATATTCAAGCTTCATTCTATATATTCAAGTTTCATTCTATATATTCAAGCTTCATTCTATATATTCAAGTTTCATTCTATATATTCAAGTTTCATTCTATATATTCAAACTTCATTCTATATATTCAAGCTTCATTCTATATATTCAAGCTTCATTCTATATATTCAAGTTTCATTCTATATATTCAAGTTTCATTCTCAAGTTTCATTCTATATGTTCAAGCTTCATTCTATATATTCAAACTTCATTCTATATGTTCAAGCTTCATTCTATATATTCAAGTTTCATTCTATATATTCAAGTTTCATTCTATATATTCAAGTTTCATTCTCAAGCTTTATTCTATATATTCAAGTTTCATTCTATATGTTGATGCTTCATTCTATATATTCAGGTTTCATTCTATATATTCAAACTTCATTCTATATATTCAAACTTCATTCTCAAGTTTCATTCTATATGTTCAAGCTTCATTCTATATATTCAAGTTTCATTCTATATATTCAAGTTCATTCTCAAGTTTCATTCTATATGTTCAAGCTTCATTCTATATATTCAAGTTTCATTCTATATATTCAAGCTTCATTCTATATATTCAAGTTTCATTCTATATATTCAAGTTTCATTCTATATATTCAAGTTTCATTCTTCTATATATTCAAGTTTCATTCTATATATTCAAGTTCATTCTATATATTCAAGTTTCATTCTATATATTCAAGCTTCATTCTATATATTCAAGTTTCATTCTATATATTCAAGCTTCATTCTATATATTCAAGTTTCATTCTCAAGCTTCATTCTATATATTCAAGCTTCATTCTATATATTCAAGTTTCATTCTATATATTCAAGCTTCATTCTATATATTCAAGTTTCATTCTATATATTCAAGCTTCATTCTATATATTCAAGTTTCATTCTCAAGCTTCATTCTATATATTCAAGCTTCATTCTATATATTCAAGTTTCATTCTATATATTCAAGCTTCATTCTATATATTCAAGTTTCATTCTATATATTCAAGCTTCATTCTATATATTCAAGTTTCATTCTATATATTCAAGCTTCATTCTATATATTCAAGCTTCATTCTATATATTCAAGTTTCATTCTCAAGTTTCATTCTATATGTTCAAGCTTCATTCTATATATTCAAGTTCATTCTATATATTCAAGTTTCATTCTATATATTCAAGTTTCATTCTATATATTCAAGTTTCATTCTCAAGCTTTATTCTATATATTCAAGTTTCATTCTATATGTTGATGCTTCATTCTATATATTCAGGTTTCATTCTATATATTCAAACTTCATTCTATATATTCAAACTTCATTCTCAAGTTTCATTCTATATGTTCAAGCTTCATTCTATATATTCAAGTTTCATTCTATATATTCAAGTTTCATTCTCAAGTTTCATTCTATATATTCAAGCTTCATTCTATATATTCAAGTTTCATTCTATATATTCAAGCTTCA